TTTTGAATTATGAATTGTAATTTAGAAATTATATTGTTTTCGTTCTTGAATCGTAATTTAATATTATTACAGGTTTTACTCTTGGATTATATGAGTACCGCCAAGGAAAAACCTGTCATCAGACTTTCAATTATATTTTGTGTACAGTTAGTCATCTATGAAAAATCTATCATAATGATAGATTATTCATAAATGACTAACTGTATATAAAATATAGTTCAAAGTCCGATGACAGGTTTTCTTTCTCTTGGCAGCACTCATATAATTTAAGCATTATACTATGCAGTGTAATTGTGAAGCATAAATAAATAATAGATATGGTTATATTTATTTATGCGTAGCGATAGCATATAGAGACATGTGTCTTTGGTATGTGTTGTTACATTTTTTTTTTTTTTTAGTAAGATATTTGCATTTTATTTTTAGCTGATAATTTCTTTTATATTTTATTATTAATAAGAAAAGGATAAAAATTATTATACGTAACAAATTTTGGCTATATAGAAGATGTAGTAATAGTTATGCATGTTGTAAGTTATAACATGAATTAGCTATTTTTAAGCTATTTTTAACTATTTTGCAAGTCAAAATAGTAATTGTATGTAAAATTTTGATTACTAATACATAATATTAATAATTTTGAAAATTATTGTTATTAGTAGCATTATACAGTCTTCCTCCTCTATAATCACATTCTATATAATCACAACTCCCATATAATCACATTAATTTTTGAGACAATTTATTAAAAAACTTATAAAAAAAGACTTCTATATAATCACACTCTTTTATAATCACCAATTTTCTTGATACAAACTGTGTGATTATAGAGGAGGAAGACTGTATTTAGAAGTTCATAATGAGGGGTATTTATATATGATAAGAAAAATGTTTTGGTAAAAACAGGTTATATTGAAAAAAAACTTTTTTTTAATTTAAATAATTTATGTTGAAAGAAAAGATAATGACATTGAATTAGTTATGTTTGTACCTATTAATTTCGATGAGAGATATGGAGATAGTTAAGCGATATTTGAGAAGAATGAGTATTATATTATCAGTAAAAAAGTTGTACCTGAGTATTATCATAATGTTAAAAGATTAAAGATATTATCATGAACTTATAAAAATCGTGCAATATTTATTTATTTACACTTGTTTATTTAGATGACAGTTGCAGTTTCAATACATGTTAGTATTAATAGAGAATCGAATTCGAATAATTATCCTTTAAATATATCTTTAGTTGGTGTTGCTCAAAGTGAGCCTTGGGAAATTGAGAATGATAAAAATGCTATTATTAAGACTTTAGTTAATGATTATGTTGTTCAAGAGTGTAATTTTATGGTTAACATTACTTATCCACATCTTAATTCACGATTTAAACATTTTAAAAATTCTATTCAACCGAAAGAAACTATGTTATTTGTTGTTGGTGAGATGGAAATCATTGAAGATGAATTGTACATTTATGCAAGAGATATTAATTATGCTGATACAAATTTAATGACAAAGAGGCAACTGCCTGGATTTAGCAATTCAGAATCATTAACATCATCTAAGTTAACTCATTCTAAGCTTTTAGCCGCATACCATAATATTATTGAAAAAGGTTCTGAAGCTTCAAATTTAACGAATCTGATCAGTTCAAATGAAATTTATTCAAATCAATAATTTGATACATCAACATCCAATGTTGGACTATCAAAACGTATTAAGACAAAAAGGTGAATGAACTTGCTAGAGATTTACTTGGAATTGATGATTTAGAACTTGCAAATATTACTTATGTTGGAAATAAAATGCCAGTAGATCAAAATATGTCTGAAGATCATTATAAGGACTTAGATAGGTTTGATGAAGAAAAAAACCTGTAATAATATTAAATTACGATTCAAGAACGAAAACAATATAATTTCTAAATTACAATTCATAATTCAAAA